TCATACTGAAGCATTCAAACTGAAAGATTATTTCAGAAAGAGATTTATTTTAATGTAAAGTCCAGATCCTACATTCCATTCATGCCTCATGCGTACTGAAGCTAATGCAACTTCAGAAATGATGCCTGAAGAACAAGCCTAAATAAGTCTTTCGTGCTACCAAACTGTGGCACATTATGATGCATATATATGAAAATAAGATCCTCCATTCACTTCCTCAGATTTTAACTCAAATACTGTGTTCAGATTCTGAGTACTGGTAAATAATCACTTCCTTACTTTATAATAAAGCCAGTTCAGTAATGGTTTGTGAGACCTCCTCTATTGCAGTTGTTGCATAGGACAGAAGTCTGATGAGTTCTATTCAGAGGGATGATATAAAACCAAGAGGTTCAGCCCTGATATCATCACTGTGGTCTTTCACTGGCTTTCTAGAGGCACATCTGCAAACGACGCTGTGGAATACATCTTCATCACAGTACTGGAAAAACTATCTTTGAATGTCAAGAGACATCACTGCCCATTCTGGAAATCCTAAGGTACATTACAATAAAATGCTAGGTGGCCTCTGCAGCCTGATATTCATAAATGAGAAATTCCCTGACATTAAGGAAACAATAACAACATCTGTTACAGGGCCTTACAGATAGCATTGAACAACTTAATTTAACTTCAGAGTTTTACTTTGAGCAGATAGTTGGACCAGCTGATCTCCAGAGGTCCCTTCCAACTCATTTAAATTATTCTATGATTCTGTTCTATTTTGTCCTTTTTAGAGAGAGTAAAATGGTTCAAATTCAAAAGCAAAACAATTTCTCAGCAGACAAAGGGACCAATGAAAGTCACAATCTAAAACAACCTTAGGAACACATTCGTGTTTAAGTGGTCTGAGACTGTAAGAAATCCGCACGAGTCTTTTCTTTTGTTTCTTTCTGTAATCTGTGGTGTGCTGTGATGCTCCAGTGTTGGGAGGGAGTAAAACACTCTTCTGCAGAGCCATGTTAGTTTTGGACAGGATGAAAAAAAACAACCTCAGGTCTAAGTAGAATGGTAGGGCCACTGAATTCAGGAATACAACAAAAATTTCTGAGCAGCTATTACTATAGAAATTAAGTAACATTCCCACAAAGTGAAAGACTGCTGCTATACTAGTTAAAGTTTACAATACAGCAAAAAGACACTCTATATCAGCACATCATACTGGTTTAAATGTCTTCATCTTAAAAAAATCTGAAGTCTAAATAACATATTTATTTCATCAGCACTGCAACCATCTCTTGTTAGGACCATGAAGTCCACCACAGCAAGTACAAAAAAAAATTATGCAAACCAGATAAAGCAAAGATTGCTACAAACATTTGAAATTTTGCCTAATTTACAAATGCCCAACATATTCAAGCTTGAGACTTGTATTTCTTGAGTTATTATTTATGTCATGGGAACTCTTACCATTATCAATACACTTATTTCACACAGTTGCATGATATTTTCTGAATTTTTATTTGGTTTAAAGTCATACATCCTAATTTGGGGCTATAGAATGGCTGTGTTCCTGTACCAAAAAAAGTGTTGTTTTTAATAGCAACCTACAAAATATTGAGAACTTTACAGCAATAAACAGGAACAGGAGCAAAGAGGTCAATTCCCTGTCAGTATGGATTTGAACTCTGATTGCTTACCTGCAATGAAAATAGCCTAGACGCTACGCCATAGTGTAGGCTGAGGTAAATTCTCTCTCAGTATTTCCTATTGTAGTTGCTGCACTCTTATACCTCTGATAACTCCCTAAACACGACATGAGACAGCTCAGTTCATAAAGGAGAAAGACATGTGGGTACAGTTCCCCACGCAGCTGGCTCCAGTAACTGCTGTCTTTCATAAAGACAAGACGCATCCAGTATGCTTCCCCTGCTGTGCTCCTTGCATGGTGAAAAAGACTTCCTCTGCAGTAAATTGTCACTAGTAAATTTACAGTCAGTACCTCATCCATGTACTACATAACCTCTAAACTCCTGTAAGACCTTACAGAAGCTGCTAGCTTCTCAGGAGCAGGTAACTGGCTTTATTTCAGTTCCACATGAGGCAACGGCTCCTGCTGAGTTACTGCACATGCTGTCACTCAGAAGACAGATATTTTCTGGGAAGGGAAGGGAAGGGAAGGGAAGGGAAGGGAAG